GGCAACATGTGTGACCATAGAATATCTGTGATTATTCATATACATACTGTCCATTCATACTCATATCCGCATTTCTAATTTTGAAGTTTTGTTTTTAAAAGAAAAAGCTAATAGAAATGCTATTGAAGTTTCCATGATCTATAACGTCATTAATATGTTTTTATTATCTGAATAAGAGTATCGAACGATTATTACACTAGACATTTGATTTGATAATAAACTGTGTTTATTTATTTATTTTTTTCGAAAATCTAAATCGATATTCAAAGTAATTTTTAATTGTCTACGGAAAATAGTTAAACATGAAGAGTACTTTTAATAGAAATAATAAAGAAGAGTATTTCTTTGAATAATGTGTCTTTTGAATATTTGTATACAAATAAACAAGACCCTTCTTATATATCTAAAGAAACGAATTTAATACGAAAAGATATAAAAAGACTTTCAATAGAATATAAAAGAAATCGATATTCGATAATACTATCAATTATAGAAAATTTGACTTTCGAATTAAATCTGTTCGATATCATTCGAACTCTTCTTTTTAATTGATTATCCATAAATATATTTATTCCTTTTAGATTTTTCATATATTTTGTTTTTATCTTAGGTGTGGGTGTGAGTATCAGACTAAGAGTACCGCCCATATCCACACCCACATCCTCACTTGGATTCTTTCGTTAATTTCTCAATACATAACAGATTCAATAGTCAAAATTCTTCAAAATGAACTTATGCAAGAATCGTTGTTCTGAATCTCTTCAAATAACAGATAAAAATTTATCAGCTAGCTTTTATATTATATTTTTATCCTAAAAGTTTAAGTGAGAATCTCGCTTTATACTTTCTGTTTTGAAGTTAAATAACTATTTTATCTATTTTTCCTACATCAACAATGTTTCTTGGTGTTTTCTGATTGCATATAAGTTTTAAGAAAACTTATATTTAAATCGAAATGAAAATACTTAGAGTATATTTATTCATTTAACCTAAAAAATATTGAAATAATTCAAATGACAATGAAATAAAATATTAAAATTTAAATGAAAAAATCAACACGAACGTCTTATATGTCTAATGATAATGATTATTTCTACGAATTATGTTAGTGACTAAATAATTCAAAAGTCAAATCCTACATAATATATGATAATAATAGACAAAAAAAACAGCACTTAATGATGAGGAATTTTAGGTCCCATGAAATAAATTTTCATTCGATTTGTATATGCGTCTATGCTTGTCTGATTGATGTATGATAAAATTGTTCACGTTTTACTTCAAACTCGATTTCATCCAAATCAGTTTCTTTTGATTTTGAAACATTGCTTAGAGGAAATTCCAGGATATGTCTAAATTGTTACTTGTATTAGAAAACCTTTCTTATTCTTCAGCAGCTTAAAGAGTACATTCAATAAGATTTGAGTTAAACTCATTAGAATTTTGAATAATGTGCCTTCAATTTCGATTTGTTCTATTCATATTGGACTATCTTAAAACATGAGTTGTTCTCTCATATATTACGTAGCAATATAATTAAATCGATATTTTGAAAATATTCTTTTCGTAACATAAATAATATTTTGATGTGCATATTCAAATGAAGAACACCAAGCAAAAAAAATTCTAGTTACTTTCTTTTTTGCATTGGAGAAATAAGATGAATATGTCAGATATTTTAAAATATTTATGCAATTCGACGAATCATAATTATATTGAAAATTATCAAGTTTCATCTATTTAAGAACGAAATAAAGATCTGAATCCATTTTCACAATAGTCGTTCTCTGTTAATACTGGCGATAATTTAGTCTTCTTATTGATACTGAATGGAATCTATTATTGTTTGTCATTGCCTGCTACTCAGCGATGTCAACCACATTACAGCATACACAAATGAATTGTTTACTCTCCATGTTGCATATTATTCTGTTACCATGTGCAGTTCTTATCAAGAAAGCGCGTGGTGGACAAAAATTCAAAAAAAGACGAAGAAATGTAGGTAGAAAGGATAAAAATAAGACATGTAAAATGTTGTTGTGTTGCACAAGTCATAAAAGAGTCCTTCGATAAACAAACCCTGTGTCCCGCACACACAAAATTCAACGAAGTTGGAAACTATCATCACTGAAATTTCATCTTGGTGAGTGATTTATTACGATAATTTCTAAACAGAAGTCGAGTATTCCAAGCGTCATAAATATAGTAGACATATAGCCGGAATAGGGTGGGTGGGTGGGTGTGGATCTAGATCTCTTATTCATCCACACCCATACCATTATCATGAGATAGATATAGATTTGAAGACCCTTACTCCAAAAATTCGAAGAAATCATAGAAATTTCTGTAATTACTGAAATTTCCAGGTAATTACCGGAATTACCAAAAATTCTTCTATTTTTTAGGGATAAGGCTCGTTAAATCTATATGTATGTTACTATATCTATATGATATATGTAAAGAAGTTATAAAAATTTCCGTAATTACTAAAAATTCCTAGTAATTACGGAAATTACCAACAATTCTACAACATTTTGGGGTACGGCTTCTTAAATCCATATGTATCCTGTTATACCTATATGATATATGTAAAGAATTTATAGAAACTTCCGTAATTACTACAAATTTCTAGTAATTACGGAAATGACCAACAATTCTACAACATTTTGGGGTACGGCTTCGTAAATCCATATGTATCCTGTTATACCTATATGATATATGTAAAGAATTTATAGAAATTTCCGTAATTACTAAAAATTCCTAGTAATTATGAAACTACCAAAAATTCTTCTTTTTTTTGGGCATAGGGCTCCTTTAATCTACATCTGTCTTATTATATCGTATAGACATAAATTGGGAATTATAGAAATTTCTTGGTAATTTCGTCCGTATGTGCTGGTATTTTTCGTAATCACTGCTAAACGTCCTTTTGTGGATTTGGTATTTACGGAAATTATCTGCTAATTTCTTTCTCTGGTATGAGCAATTACCGAAGTTTCCGGAAAGTTTGTTTTCTGTTTTGTAGGTATTTTCCGAAATTTCCAGGAAATTTCTTTATTTGTGTTTATATTTGTTTTTGAATAGGACGGGAAAAGTTACGGTAGTTTCTCATATTTTCTGAAATTTGCATTTTGTATGGTTGCAGTTTCAGAAATATGAATATTTAGCAGAGAGATTTCCTTTTTTGGAAATCTGCCCACTGCTGGAAGATGACCATATATGATTATTCCTTTATTAGTACGAAAATAAGTGATTTAACTCAAAAATCTCTTGTCCTCTGAGCTTGATGCTATAGTACTGGAAATATCTCGTACAGTTCACTGAAATCAAATTAAAGCTTAATATGAAAACTTTGTATAAAACATTTTAAGATCAAAGGTTATTATTGAGAAAGTTATCGGACTAAAGAATAAGATAAAGTCAGTTACTATAGTTTATAAAGTAGTATTGTTTTGAAAACTTCTTCGATTAAATTTTACAAGTTAACGCATATATCTGTATATAATTGTACGAAGATTAATAAAGTTTCTTCATGAGTAGTTTCTTTGAGGTACTACTTTCAATATTTTCATTACAAACGAAACTCAAACTATACAGAAGTCGAATCAAAAGTATTTAGTTATATGAAAGATTTGCCATGAAAATTTTGAAAGTAGTTCGTCAAAGAAAATCATCAAATCTATACGAATTCATGATGAACTTTATTGACCTTCATACACTTCTATGTGGATATTTGCATGAACTTCTAAGATTTAATCGAAAAAGTTCTTAATACAATACTACTTTACAAACCATAGCAATTGAATTTATTTGATTCTTCAATCCGATATATTTCTCAATAACCTTTGATTTTAAAATGTTGTATACAAGGTTATAAAGAATGGAATAATCTGCCCTGAAACATTCAATATTACGTTGATCATAGTCCATGAGCTGCGAGACTGAAAGGTCATCTTCATGCTCTTTTTATTTTCAATAATGGAAAGCTTGATGTATTGAATAGCGTATCGTGGAACAATGTCTTTCTATATCTGATTTCGAGAATGTGAAAGATATCGATAAATGTTTTGCTCTTGATTTAGAACTTTCAAATGGCTTATAGTAATATTAACGATAAAAATTCAGCTTTACGTTTTGCTGATGTGGGTACATTACCAAAGCGAATGTTGGCACCAATCGAAGGTTATGAGAAAGTACCACTCGTAACGCTTGAGGAAGCTGTGAAACCTCTTGTCAACATTGTACCTAAAGTCGAACGAAATGTATTCGTAGTCAAACAAAACTGCCAAGAACCAGAAGATGGTTTAACAACTGACGAATCGGCTTCAATTATGCTTTACACATATGAATCGATGCCACATGAAGACTCCCTGTACGTGAAGCTTAACGCAACTTTACGGTCTGAACAAAGAAAAAATTTAATTCCATGGTTTCTCTATCTTCGACTCATACTGACAGCGCTTGCGCGTCTTCCATCAAAGCGCCGTTCCGTTTTTCGAGGAGTCAAAGAAAATTTATGGGCTGATTATCCACTGGGCAAGATTTTCATCTGGTGGGGATTTTCATCATGCACTTCATCGGTTGGAGTGTTGGAAAATGAACAATTTTTTGGGACGACTGGAAACAGAACTCTATTTCAAATAGAGTGTACCACAGCAAAGGATATCAAAAATCATTCATTCGTTGCCAGTGAAGATGAAATACTTTTATTACCCGCCAGACAATTGCAAGTCACATCTTATCTTAATTCCGGCCATGGGCTCCATATTGTACAACTGACAGAATTGAAGCCACAGTTCGATCTTCTTGAGCCAGTACCATTGCCTAGTCCATCAGTTCAACCCAAGAAAAAGTCACAAATGAAATCTCAATCATCAGCAACAGCGACTGCAGCCAAACCTATTGCTGGAGCCATGGAAGAACAATTCGCAACAATGCAGCTAAGCAAGAATACAAAGTCACGAGGTCAGTAATATTTATGAATCAGTTAATAAATGTGTTTATCAATGAAATGCCTACTCTTAACGCATTTTTTCATTGTGTTTTCTTGAACAAAAAACCACGTCAATATTTTCTGAATTATAAAATTCTATAATTCATCTCAATGTTGTAAAAGTCTTCTTAGAGACACGTACAGATTAAAAAAAAAGAAATAGAATATAGAAATATTCAAAGTTCATATCCGTGACAGATAAAATTCAACATTCGCCAATTTTGTATTTTATCAATGTCTATGAAAGGAACTTTTCATTGATAGTGTTTGAACTCTATAATTAATAAATTATCTCATCATAATTGATATATTGAATAATTTCAAATAACATTGCTTGTCATGTTACAATTTTGTTACTAAAAAGTAAAATATTATATATTTTCTGATATTAGTCTTGGTCAGGAAGATTAAAAAAGGAGACTTATCTATGAAGCAATAAACACTGTTACAGTGATAACTTCAAATTATTAAGTTAGAATTTATATATATTGTTTTTGAAAGAGAAAACATTTCGAGTTTATATAGTTCTGTGATATATATAGACAACCTCTGGGCAGTTGTTTGTCTATTTAAATTCGATCTTGATTATTTTAGGCAATTACTCTATTCATTTACCAGAATAAACTAAAATGATCCTGATGTTGATAACGTCATAGTTCGAATCTAAGATTTATTTTTGAAATTTTAAAAAGTTGATATGAGAGGCGTTCGAAACACCTTTGTCTTTAATCGTTTCAATAGAAAAAAATATTTACATGAGAAAGAAAAGATGATTATTCCATTTTCCTACTTCTTCAATGATGTCTTTGCAGTTTTCTCTAGTGCATATATTAATTTGTATTCGATTTTGTTTACACAGTAATTGTCTAAGTTAACTGTTCACTTTACTCTTTGTCTCGACTGAGAATTCAGTATATGTTATGGATATTTGAATTGAATATGGTTAGAACGAATGTATGCAAAGAAAATAGTTCAACATGAAAGAAAGAGCTAGGCATTCAACGTATAATTTAGTAATCAGTCGCTGTTTTTTCTTGGAAAAAAGAGTTTGACTAAGTTAATGTAATAATCGTATGTATGATACAGGTAAAAATATGCAAGCCTCAGATAGATAATTTTTCTTTGATCACTTTCTTCATTAATTGTTTCAAATACGTTTGAACTTTGAGTTCTTCATTACCTTACTATTATCTAACTATATATTTTTTGATGAAATTTGAGGCATTTGGGAGTATTTTAATGTGATAGAACATTGAAACTGAAGAAAAAAATCCGAGTGAACAAGCGAAAAGAAAACTATTCGTAGTCTACAAAAACTATTATAATCTCCAAAATGACTAGAACTTTCATGTACTAACTAGTTTTAAGGAGTCGATGTACAAACGGTGAAAACTGTTTGATTAGTTATCCAAACAAGTGTAAACAGATAAGATATGTTTAAAATTGATCTGTATTAAACAATGATTAATACATTTTCGATTACTTATCAAATCTTTTCTGGCGTACACATATTGAAATGTATAAACGACTTTTTTTTATCTTTACTTGAGGGTGTGGGTGTCGGTGAAATGAAGGTGTACACCCACACCCAAGTCTAAAAAAAATCATCTTGACATGTTAATTTGTTCATCTCAAAATTTATCGATAGAAAATAGACAAATCATGTGAAAATTTCGTTTGAAAATTAGAATGCCAGAACTTCATCTTTTTGACAAAGCTTACTAGAAACATAGAGTCAGATGATCAATAAAATTTCATCACGTTCATGACTTTTAAATCAAATATACAATTATGGTATTTAATTCATGAAAAATGTTCAGTTCTTCATTGTCATGTAATTTCTTTTAATTTTTTACGTTGATGAAGTGATTAATTTTCATTCACTCTCTGTTAGACATTAGCGTAGATACAGTCGTTTGTTCAACAAACGCAGATTATACGTATATGAAATCCAATGAAATTTGATCATTATCGCAAATGTAGTCAAATATAATATTTTATCTCGTAAACATAATTTTATGGAACTTGCCTGTTGATAATTGGAATGAAAATGAATTGAAATGGGTGAACATAGTAAAAAGAAAAAGATCTATTCCATTCATATTATTTCTGATTTGAATGATGTTAAATAAAGTTTTTTGATTTGTTTGTCTTATATGAAGTCTTCTCATTTTATCTTCTCCTCTTGTAATATTGTAGGTGTGTGAGGTGTGAGTGAAAATGAAAATCTGTTAAAGAATCCAACGGTTGATAATTTGGAATATTGACTAGTTGCATGCTCGGACCTATATTCCAACTACACCTTACACATTCTATAACTCTATCACAAATTTTAGAGAAAGATCGTTTAATTAGCGAATAGGTATAGATATCTACTCAAAATAAGAGCTGCATTTTGGCTTTTATGAAAACAACCATATGACAATAGATATTTTTATATAATATATGTCCCATTTTAATGAGAAGAGTTGGAACTATGTGTCATGATTTCAATCATAAAATCATAGGAAACTTTGAAAAATGAATTGGTGCATTTCGCCGATTTTTTTCATCCTAGCTATGTGTTAGACCAAATTGAATAGTATATTTGACATCAATATAAAAAATACGTCAAATCAGAGAAATTACAGTTTAAAGAAAAGTGTTCGTGAAAAATACATCCCTGATGAACTAAAGGCATATTTGTAAGTTCGGATGTAGTTTTTTTGTGCTGATATCGACTATGTTGTTTATTCTATTTTGATATTGAACGATAATGATTGAAACTGCTAAGTGCGACTTTTTTTATGGCGATAATAAGAAAAACCTCAATTTTCTTCAATATTTTTGTAGATTGCAGTCAAGCGATTTTAAGAAGAAAAGCCGTTTTAACATTTCCTTGTCTCACAAAAAAACTAGAGAAATTTACAAAAGTATCTATCACGACAAGCTCAGAAGTGTGTTGGTGTTTCCTATATCTCGGATTGGTTTTCTTTACTTCATTAGCTTGCAATAGAATCAAGTAACGTTTTTTTATGCATGATAAAAACTGCAATCATAATCAACAAATATGATGAATATTATTCCATTAAAATGATAGAGCTCATAAAAAAATGATTCCAAATCTATGCAACAATTTATATAAATATGTTAATTTCATAGAATGTACAATAGTTCGATGAACATCTTAAACATATAATAATTTTTATCGCATATCTTTACATGCTACAAAACATTCGGTTTTCTTTGACTTCAGTATATCCTTAGAGAGAACAATCATATTCCTAAGATCTGCATTACTGTAAATATAATTTAGATGAATTTTGAGTTATGTCAATCTTATTATTATTGTGTAGTAAATGACTGATTATAGTTATTTTTCTCAAAGTTCAAAATGTGATTTTGGTCTACTTGCGAGGTAAAATAGTTATTGTTGTACGCTTTTCTCTCATGTTTCTAATACTTGTGCGATCATAAAAATTTTCAAGATACTTTGTTTTCTTTTATTCTTATCACATTAAGACTCTGTTGCTGATTTATTTGAGAACCGACTTTTCTTAGAGCTATTGAAATTATTCTATTTTTATCACAACATCAATAAGCATTCGAAGTTGGATTTCTCTCTACATCTGCTGATTTTGCTCAGAAAGAGACGAATAAATAGATGATATATCAAAGTTGAGACAGTCGTATGATGTGCTAACTTTTTTTTGCAGTGAGTGTTAAGAAACATTTTTCTATCAGAAAAGCAAATATGAATGTAAATTTTATGATGGAGATATTAAAATTGAAAAAGAACGTAATTTTATGAGTTTTTTTTTGTTCGATTTCAAGAACTTGAAGTATGTAAAAAGTACATTTTAATAATTCAATCGTTTATTTACATGTTGAAATGTTTTTTTTTCGCATTTCTATGTTGTTTTAAATGAAGATAAATACAAGTTTGTAAAGAATTCAATTATGCATCTATCAAAAACAAATTCTGACTATCTGATTAAGATTCACACGTTCTAAATTACGTATAAAATCTACATATCCATATGTTATCCTATGGAGAGCTTCGATTGGATTAGTATTTCTCTTCTCAGCATTTCAAAGTTATAAGTCACTAGCGGCAGTACCCGGCGTTGCCCGGAAAAATTTAGTCTTAATATATGCAAGGAAAACTCCTGTTGCATTCGACAACATGTCAGAAAACCCAATCAGTAGGGAGTAGACACGCATAAAATTCTATTTTTTGTTCCAGTCCTGGTTATTGCTCTTGAACGTATTTTAAGTCCCAGCCACGGCTATTCTCGCTCTCGGCGGATATGAAATACTGACATTGAAAAAATTGATCAGAAGTGAAGGATTCTTCGTCCTTCCACGTCTAGATCAAGAAGAGTTTGATGAAACTTATGAGTTCTATCAACTTTTTATCTTGACCAAGCATTTATAAGAGTATATACCCATCTCGATCGATCCTGATTCCGACTGACCCTGGTCGCACTTGGTCACGTTCTTGGTTCCAGAGCTGTATAGTTGTGTTTCTAGTGAGGAGCCCACATGAACAATCGATTCTTCGACAGCGTTGCAAGAAAAATTCGCTTTGATCGAAACTAAGCACAACAACACATCTAATTGATCTAGAACGTCGCATTTTGTACTGCTGAAATCACACTGAATTCCGATTGATTACAAAGAAAAACAGATAGATAGAAAGATTTTTGTGGGACAGATTCTTTAACAACCTAAGGAGTCAATATCTATGACGTACAAATTTTCAGCGTCATAGGTTATTTATTTGAAATTCCCGCCTCACACGACCTCCAGGAATGAACTTCCCCAAAAGCTAGATTTGTGTATGACATCGGTCACCCTTAATATTCGTTTTCCCAAAAACTCGATTCCTATTGGTTTCGGACCAACCAATCAGATTTTGAGGTGATTGGATCTCTAATTCGAACTCATCGCCCTTGAAAGCCTGTGGTTCCATGTTTTCTGTGTGCTCACGAAGTGCCACGCAATAGTACTTCTATAGTACAGAATACTGCAATCTGATTGGTCAGCAATCTAGGCATGCTTTTTGTGGGCGAAGAAGCCATTTTTTTTGAACAAAAAAAAAGGTGTTGACCTTCTCCTGGGTGAGAAGAGAATTTCTGGAAAGTTTGATTGCATTCGCTCGTACGCTGTGGAAATGCATAAAGAACAGACAGATAGATCAATATTCTTCTTTATATATAAGATCTAATTCTATAGATGTGCCTGAATTGTCCTATGATGTGAAAAGCATCCTCGAAGTTCTCCAACAACAGGGATTAGATTTGGCATCTTCCTAACAAGATGCAAATAGAATCTTCTCAGGATTTTTTCAGTTTAGGAGTTTCACATAGTTCTTCTTGTTTGATGTTCATGTAAATGATCATCCTACAAAAAGATTCTGCATCCTCGCAATTTTCAATAAAATCCTCAGATCTCTATGTTTTTCTATCAAAAGCTTTCATACAATTAACATTACTCTTTCTTAGAAGACCTTCTGACAGCAATCTCCAGGTGTTGTTTTTTATGATCCAAAAGATCTTGGCAAAAACTAAAAGTGACATAGATGTAAGAATCGTTAGAAAATCCTTTTTTTTCATAAGAAACTAGGAAAAGACTTCTGAATTTTTATCTATGGAATGAGCATTCTCAAAGATGAATGTCGTATTTGTAGCGCTTACTCCTACGAAAGATGAGCTCCCTTCGACAACTACGATTTCTTTTCTTTTTCATTCATTGTAGTAATTCCCAATATTCCACTTGATGCCCGATGGGCACAGAATGGTGTGACTGTTGCTGGAGGCCATGGAGAAGGCAATGCTACCAATCAACTCAAATATCCTCATGGTCTCTTCGTTGATGATGATCAAACGATGTTCATCGCTGACTTCGGCAATCATCGTATCATTCAATGGAAGATGGGCGATACGAATGGACAAGTAGTAGCTGGTGGTAATGGCCAAGGAAATCGATTGGATCAATTGGATTCCCCAACCGATGTGTTGATCGACAAAGAGGCGGATAGTCTCATTATTTGCAATACTCGACGAGTCGTACGACGGTCTCGTCGTAGTGGTACAACTCAAGGAGAAATCCTCTTCGACAACATTAGTTGTCGGGGATTGGCCATGGATGATCAGAGATATCTATACATCTCTGACGTCGGAGAACATAAAGTAAGACGATATCAAATAGGAGACAAGAATGGAACTCTTGTGGCTGGTGGCAATGGTGGAGGGGCTGCTCTCAATCAACTCAATAATCCGTACTACATCTTTGTCGATCAACAACAGAATGTCTACGTGTCAGAGTACAAAAATCATCGTGTGATGAAATGGAATAAAGGTGCAAAAGAAGGAATTGTTGTCGCTGGAGGTCAAGGCGAAGGGAATGCTCTGACACAATTGTCGCATCCTAATGGACTCTTCGTCGATACTTTGGGTACCATCTATGTGGCAGACTCGTTCAATCATCGAGTGATGCGTTGGCATAAAGGAGCGAAACAAGGCACTGTCATTGTGGGTGGAAATGGTTACGGAAAAGGAGCAAATCAGTTCAACCAGCCCGACGGTTTGTCCTTCGATAGACATGGCAATCTCTATGTCGTCGAATGGGGGAATAATCGTGTTCAACGATTTTCAATCGAATAGACTCGTCGTGACAAATTTTTTTTCTTTCCTTTCTTTTCAAATAAATCACGTTGAATTGGTGAAATGAATATCTATTCTATTCGCGTGCGCGCGATCAGGAACCATCCTGGCGGAGCCGTGGCGAGCGTAACGCTCATGCGCGCACGGGACAGACTCAAATCATTCATATTCCTCCCACTCGAGAGATATGTCAATGAGTCTGGGGGAGGGGGGAGCAATCGTGTGCCACGGACACCAAGACGGTTCCTGGTCGAGCTTTTAGGGACTACCCGGAAGTCCTTCATAGAAGACGAAACCCTAACACTCAACGGACAGAACCCACCCTCCTCAATCTGCCTCTCCCTTATTCTCATCTCAAAAAAAGAAAAAAAATTTACTCACCATGTTTGACGTTGAATGATGACGTTGTTGTTGATGATGATGACGCGACGATATTGAGTATTAAAAAGAACAAAAAAAAAGTTTAATTAATGGTACGTAATGAAAAAGAACGAGATAACTTACTCCACCCGTTATCTTTTTCTTCACTGTCCGATGCCTAAAATGAAAAGAAAACAATACATAAAAAAGATCATAGGAGAACTTACCGCCCTCCATATGATCGTAAAGAAAGAAAAAGAAAGAAAAAAATTAAAAATAATACCTACATTTTTTTAATTGTATTGCTTGATATTGAATTGAATAATTTTGTATTGTGGAAGCCGATCTAAAATATAAAAAGAAACGATTATTATTTGACTCAAAAATTGAATGATTTCTTCGTTGGAAATCATTCATTTTTATACCCCCCAAAAATCGTTTTTCCTTGGGAGAGAGAATATTCATTGTTATTTTTCTCGTTGGAAAATAATTACACGCTGAGTTTAATGAAGCTTTAATCTAGACCCACACATGCATTGAGATATATTCGATCACAAATATCTCAATGTATATGTGTGGATAAAGCTTAATTTTTTTCACACATTAATTGTACGTGTTGATCATTGATCATCAATGATAACATGGACGATGACTTATAGATGAGAGAATGAAAAAAAGAAATATTACTCTCTTGGCCTATTTCTTTTTTCTTTTTCTCTCTCTCGCATGTTCAGTATGTGTACAGAGTTGACGAACACACATACGCCCACTAGAGCCCATCGGGTCCAAGAATTTCTGGACCCAGACCCGACCTAGACTCGGTGAATTTAATTTTTCTGGGCCTGGATCCGGTCGATCAAGATTTTCAGACTCGAACCTGATAGATCATTTTTATGACAAGTCAATCACATTTTATGAGCCAAAAAATTTCATATTTTTTTTATAAACAAATTAAGCTTTTTTGAATCAAACGGTCGAAAATTTAAAGAAATTCGTAAAATTTTATTATATGCATCAAAAGTTTTTTTGATTTGATCTCAATGGGCAAAAAGTTTCAGACTCGGACCCGGACCCGGTCGAATATAATTTTCAGACTCGGACCCGATGTGGTCTAACGCCCACTCATATGTAAGGTATGTTGTCATTTTTTATGTTGTTTTTCTTTTAATACATTTCTTTTGAATTAAATGAAACTTATTTTTTATTTTTATTCCAAGGACTTACTACATGTTTTGTTAAATCGGTTCTGCCCGTCGAAATCAATCACTTTCTATCATCTCGTGAGGATTGTTATATATATAAATGTATTAATGATAAACAACCAACAATTCGTACATTAACTGAAACAAAAATTATATTATCTCAACGTCAATGACCTAGTTTGATTGTGAATGGATTTGTTAATTGTGTATTTTAATATGTACTATAAATGAAGTATAAAAAAAGCAGCCGCTCCTTTATTTATTACGTTTGTGAATCTATTCGAAAAAATTAAGGTGATCAAGTGGCACATGTTACTTCACATGCAAATATCGGTGAAAAATATCTTGTAATGAATTGTTTATAAATTTTTTAGATCGTATCTCGTGTGAAATGAAATGAAATTCCAATAGATCGTGCTAAACTATTCTATTATCTTATTATTATTATTATTTGTTTACTTTTATTAGTGATAATCAATGAGAACATTTACATATGGCTATTTGTTTATATTATTTGTTATTATAAAATACAAAGTTCAATGGCTGATTTGATATCATGAACTGCCGAAAAAAACATGAAAGTTTTGAAACAATTAAGCTTTTACAATAATATTCTTTGGATGAACAGATCTAAATATTAACAAAATTTTAGATCAAAATAATCTGTTATATAAGTTTGAAAAAATCTTTCTTTGTTATGTGGACTTATCACAACAGAAAAGAATGAAATAACATATATTCTTATTTTAAATACAAATGTATTTATATCGACATATCTATTTTATACACATCAAGATCAAAAATTTGTTATTCATGTACAGGTATGCATTAATCAATAAGGAAAAAAGATTAAGATAATGTAGATATCATAATGTTTTTAGTGATTTGGAGAATTTTATGTTTAATGAATAATGTTGATAAATCCATGTGTACAATTAATTTAACTAATAATTAAACAACAACATCGTCAGATTTCTTCATTATTATTATTTTCACCATCAATATATGATTAATACTATACCAAATTCGGAAACATTTTAATATTAATAAAAATGAGTATGTATTAGATGACAATATTGTTATAAAGAACAAAATATTAACATATATAATTAGTATTTAATTGGAATGGAATATAAGAGAAATCGAATGAAAATTAATATTAATTTTACAATGTTATTAAATATTATTCGAGTAAGATAATAATTCAATGAAATATATTTTATTAGTTAAAAAAATTATAGAGCCTGTTGAGTTACTTGTGAAAATATTCTGTTGTTAACAGACTCGACCAATGTTATTATCACAAAAACTATATTTGCAAAAAAAAACAAAATGATCAAGTACCAACAGATTCGATATTTTTTCAAGATTTTACTCGTCATATACTTAGGAAAACAAATCTATGTACACTTTTTCTACAAACATTATTTGATTGTTCGATACGATAGCAAAGTCTGCATATGAACTCGCTTCTCAACAATCAAACAAAAGTTTTCAAAAAGAATGCATAAATTTTTTTCTGCTTGTTTCTCAGTCGAATAAAAACCATTAGAAAAAAATTATCGAGTGTAACGAGATTTGATACCTTTGACATATTTCAATTTTCATGGACTATTATGGAATTATTCTCGTACTAAACCAGGGTTGCCAGATCGAAAAGTTAGAAATCGAAATGTTTTAACCAAAATTCGAAAAAATTCGGAATTTTTTATATTCTACTTCGGAAAGAGTTCGGGAAGTAGTTGTTTTACCGTCAAATATATGTACCATCTTTTTTATGGACATATGTGTTGCTCTTTCAGCATTTTGTGCAAAAATTGTTACCGATATACTTATTTCTTTCTTCAGTCTCACTTAAATTCACATCTGAATCATCATCTTCATCATTCATGACTGAATTTAATTCAGGATAACAAGAGACAATTTTCATGTAAAAAAACACTTTTCTAAACTTAAAATTCAGTCCATGTCAAAGAAGTTATTGATTCAAATGACATTTTTTTAAACAATACAAAATATTCATTTAGTTCGGATAGATTTTAAATTCAAACGATCTTACATTATAAATAGTCTCAAAATTGTATTATATAATGATTACAGTAGAACAACGACAGCCCAAGAATTGCTAATGAAAGTTAAATTAGAAGTTATAACCACAGCCATTAAATCTCGAATCTAGAGAAATAACAGGTCTCGAAAAAATATTCAAAATTCGAAAGAGTTTGGAAAAAGTACAAAAATTCGGAAGATCTGGCAGCCCCGTACTGAATAAATCATTCATATTGTACAGTAGCATGCGACATAGGTCAAAATTCTTGTGATCCGATTGGAGTCGGACACTTATCGGATTTTAATTGCAACATTGATGGACTAGTTGAATTTTCTTGTATTACATTAACTCATCTATACAGATCGTTACTTTCATTTTCGAATGAATTATTTTTTTGTAATCAATTCCAATATTATTTTTCATATAACTTTTATTTTGTTTTCTTAAGGTAATTTTATGTCATTGAATAGATAATGTAAAAAATAAAAATTATTTCGAATAGATTCGTGAACATAACATTGAATTAGTTGAACAATATTGAGCTGTATTTAATGATACGACTTATTCAACGTTTACTTAAATATACATCAATAAAACATATTGCTTATCAATTATTAATTGATCCATTGGGTAAATTACGTGAAATAGCAAAAAAAAATTAAATGAACAAAGTAGAAAAACGGAAAAACATTTATCAATGTTTAATATTGTTCATATTATTGATAATTGTCGAGTAAGAAAACGATTCCGACAGTATTAAGTACGTTTTATTGCCGTTAAATTTTAGTCAGAGTTTCTTGCTGCATATCATGATTATATAGAAAAATTTCAAGTTATGGAACTTCAACAAGAATTAACAACAATACAACTACATTTAACTCGTTTTCTTTTCTCCGATTGTCTTGAATATATATGTGAAAAGCATTCGGTATGAAAATATATTCCACTTATTCAATTGGGGAATCTTCAAAGTTTATTTGATATTAATCCATCATCATTAACAATTGATGATAAAATTATTGACTGTTTTTGTTTTTTGTGGAACTCACATTACGTCTTTCTTTTCGAAGAAAAATAGAATAAGTGTAAGTTTTAGAGACACGTGACACAAAAATTTGGACGTTTGCTGAATTCTTACTCATCATATTTTCATTAGAATTTATTTCATATTTCTCAAGGCATTCTGATGGTGATCGTTTATGAATGAGTCATTATAGACTTTTATCTTAAGAGTGGCAACTATAAAAGATCAGACCTGTATCCAACTAGCTCTATCGGGAACTACGAGAAAAGTAGTTGTCCCAACTGCAACTGAAAATTAAAATTAAATATTCTATGGCTTTAAGTGTATAAGTAAAAAACATGAATATTGAAACCTTTTTAGATGTGATAAGAGTCAATTCTGAAATAGTTTTCTCTAGACGGAAACACACCCTCGTATCCTTTTTGAGTGATGATGGGGAAAACTCACCTAAAAGAAGTATAGAGACTCGAGTATGGAAAGATATGAAACTCATAGTAATTTTAAAAGCTAAAAAACGGGTAAAATCTAAATTCTCACGCATTTCTTATGGTCTAGTAGAATTTTTTCACCTCAGGTATTTTGTATGAATATAATGAGAGTAAAAATATGTGGGTTCTATATTTTAGTTCTTAACAAGTTGTATTGACCCAATCTCTATTTTTATTTTATAAATTTTTTCTTATTCAAGAAACTGAAAAATTCAGAATACTTTGTTCAATTGAAGGTCAAACATGTCAGTATATATTTCGTGTTATTAATGAAAATACAAATACTAGTAGTCATAGTTCTAAATCTTATTTTACTGATTCATTGTCTTCACTATAATCGATTTCAATATTATCGAATAGTACTCATCGTCATGGAAATAATAGAACTTATGTACTTTATCAGTAGCTAAAGCGATTCTCGTAATGTACAATTTTTATTTTAGTCTTCACTAATTTAAACATCACTTGAAAATTTAAACATTGGTTCAGATTTACGCTCAATTAATTGTCTAAATTTATTAGACTTCGCATTTAAACGGTTCGAAAATTTTCATTTTTTTTTTATTAATTAATATTGAATAAATATATATATGTCGAAATTTTAGTGGTCTTCACAAAAGCGAAGAAACGATTAAGTCTAGCTATTCTATTCAGTCCATGATTCAAGTAAATGGATGAGTGTATCATTAAGACAAGTAAGTATTTCAAATGAGAATTTCTTATAATTAAAGTAAAACATTCAGAAAATTTCGACTCATTTAACAACTGATAAAGGAATCGGAAATGCGTGTGCTCCCTAAAGTTCTGGTCTACTAGTGGAACTCATCGTGATATCTCATTAGTATCAGAAATATCCAGAAGAGAAGATATCGCACCAGCGACTAGTGCTTCAGTAGAAAGATTATTTAGCTCAGCTTGATTAATATTTACTCAATGGCGAATATGTTTATGATCAAGTCAAAATTTTCAAATATATTATTTATTCTTTCTTGTTGCCTACCTGTTGATATTGATTACATTTTGAATAATGAATATTTTAAGTTTTTGTTTTATTCAGCTTGTGAAATAGTATGGTGGTCGAATATTCTGATTGGTTTTTTGTCTTTGTGTTGACTTTAGTGATATATTAAATCATGGGAAAAACGAACGAAATAAGAACCATGGTTTGGTTCATTGAGCGTAGCTACGAGGAAAATAAAAGTGACTTCTACCGAATTACTTTTAAAGTAATTCAAAACTAGCTTTATTGAAGCCTAAAAGGAAATTTAATAGATGAACAATTCAATAATTATTTCCAAAGTCATCATGATAACATAGGATACAAAAGCTTTGACACTAATTATTTCTTTATGTAGTGGCGAGTTAAGGGAACCCCCCCCCCCTCTTTCCGGCGTTTCTAAGAAACGCCCGAACGAAAATTCCTGAAACTTGCAGGGTAGATAGACCTCGAGTAGTAGAGAAACAGTTGTCATAGACACAAATTTGCCAGACGTCATCTTCATGGACTTCCAGAGACCCCAAGGTCAAAAACTTGCAAAAAGTTTCCCCCCCCCGCAAATCCACAGATTTCATCCATTTGAGCTGAAATTTTTACTGTGGGTAGACGGACCCAATCGGGGTGGGCGTTTTTTTTTTTTCAAAAATTCCAAATACTTCAGGCTGGAGAACCAAAATACTGAGCACTTTGCAAAATCTCTAGGTTTTTTGAATCCTAAAAATTTTGCGAAGCCTGCCAAACTTGATTGGTAGAAGGTATCCAAAAAAAAAAACGCCCAACCCAAATCACTTGAAGTCTCACCAAAACAATTTTCAGCCCGATCGGACTTAAAATGGCGGAGAAAAAGGGGGAAAACTGGTTTTTGATACCAAAAAAACTAGTTTCGAGAAAAATGCAAAATAAAAAAATTTTTTTAATGCATATGTCTCCAAAAAACCTGTTTTTTCAGAGACTTCCCGACCTTGGATGGTTCCGATTTTTATAGCACACATAGAGGGGACCTTGATGCACCTTTACATGAAAAAAAAATCGAAGAAAAAAATTTTTTGGCTCAGGAAAGGGGGGTTCCCTTAAGCTTGCATTAATTGATGTTTGCACGAAACAAAATCAATATTTTCATCATTCATAATTGGTTTAAATTGATGATGCAATAGATTTTCAGTCTTTTTTCTGCTATGTAAATATATAATTAGATAAGAAATTCTGTCGAACTAACTTCATGCTATAAAGTTAGGTTTTGAGTTGAAAAAGAAAAAAAATGAGCTGAATAAAATTTTTGTATCGATTTCAGTTCGGAGTTGTTTCAAACATCTACTTCTATTATGGAATGTTTAAATTAGAAATAACTCATGAAAAAATATTTTCGAAATTTATCGCTTTCGCTAATAAATATCTAAAACAGGAAGGAATATTTTATTATAACTCTTTACAGTAGAAGTCATGCTGGAATAAATACCTGTATCAGAAAAATTAGTATAAACAATCTGTGAGAATCTTTCTTTTTTCTTCAATGTCATGTGTATGCCAAATTTAGTATAATAGTTTTGGCGCAAGAAAGTGCTTGGTACTTATCTCAACAAAAATCTTAGTATTCTTCGAGAAAAGAACTTCAAATGTTTTGTTATTCTCGAAGAAACGCGAAACTTTTTCCTCATTTTGAACAGTCGCAATCTGCAAAAGCAGTATATAAAAAGATGTTCAATATAATTCTTCAATAACGTGGATCACCGAACATTATTCACAACCTCATCAAAATTTTTCTTACTTTTTAGTTTACATATTAAAAAGACAAGATCAATTTTTAAATAAAATCTTATCAGGAACTTTTCTATCTATCGAAGGACAAACATCAGATGCGAATAAGAAAATTTGACTGTCGAAGTATTGTTATTCCAAACCTTCGTTCTCCACATATCGAAATTTTATTGAATCTTTCAGCATATAAACATGTAGTTCGCCTCAAATCATCTAGAAAATAGAATTTCGATTTTAAACTTTGCGCAAACAAAGTTCTTAACGAGATTTGTTAATATGGAAAATATCGAATATTCAATATCTCAGGATAGGAAAAAAAGAACTAGAAAGGTTACAACTTGTCCAAAGAATTAATTTCATGTTCATGCAAAATTTGAATTCGAAAGTCGATTTTTCATGTGACCTGAGTAGGACTACAGATTTCTGTTGAAAAGTAAAGAAAGCCCGGAAAGTAAAATCATTCTAAACTTTTCTATTACTCATTGAGTGAACATCATCTCACTGGAAAAACATATTGCTGTTTCAAGTTGAATTTTTATTCGTTCTATTTTGATTGATATGATCTATTTGCCAAAAGAATTTAATAATATTTTTTCAATTTCGACTTCATTTATCTCTTTTTTTTTAGGATCCATTTACGAAACTGTTCATCATTAGGATTCGTCGTCATTTATACAATTCATCCAAGAACGTAAGTTCGTTGAAAATTACCTTTAATTCTTTCATTTGATTTCTATACTTTTACAATGAATGTATAAACTGATACAGAAATGACTATCTTTGTTTTCTCAAAACAGAAAACTTGATATGTTATTATCCTTTTTTGTTTCTTGTCGATGATTAATCTACTTTTCGGAATTATCTTCTGGAACACTATTTTTGTCCGTAGTATTTTTTTTTCTTTGTGCATTGAGCAGATGTGATGCAAAATAAGGACTGATAATAGAAAGAAGAAAACAATGCATTTTTATGACAAATGAATGACTCATCTTTTATAGTATATGAAAAACTTTAGACTACTGTAGAAGTATCGGTTGAAGAAATCGATTTTAGTCGATCGTCAGAAGAAGTTGAGAAAGCTTTGAATCAATGATCAAAGACACTATCGATACTCAATGAATCAAAATCGGATGACAACATGTAAGCACTGATTCATGTATTGTGTCTGATATTATGTTTTTGTGAAACACGATCTGAAATGAATGTTGAAATATAAACATTTGCGTAACTGGAACAATTTTCTATAAATAGTAGTAGGTTCAAAGACTTCAACAGAACTGCTTGTATTAAGATCTTCAGAAAACATTTTATTTGATTGAGTAAAATAGGATGTCATCGATTTCTCCATGTACTTCCTTCATCGACTTGTTTTCGATTCAGGGAGAGCCTGAAAGACAGTTCGATGAAGGAAGTTCACGAAGAGGTCGGAGATATCTCATTTTGCTCTATCCAATAAAAATTTCTCTCAAAAACTTTGAACAGATACGAGAAATTTGGTTTTGACCGAGGCCTTCGCGCCTAATAATCCTGATGGAGAAGGCTTTTAGCTGCACAAATGTGTTTTTAAGATATATGTGCTATAAACTTACTCGTCTTTCCGTTTTATAAGGGACAGCGACATCCTTTGTTGATATACAATCGAAGACTGTGTCTCAATTCTGTTTTGTTGCTCAGTAAAATCAAGCAATTTCTTATCCATTTTTTCATTGTTAATATTAAGTTTAAGGTATTGCCGATTGAAAAATTACAATACTTTATATATTTGTGGTACTGATGAATATAGCACAGCAATTGGAACAAAAGTATTGGAGCTGAAATATACATCACGAGAAATTTATGATAAATATTTTGATTTATATAAAAAACTTTATAGATGGCTTCAATAATAATGTTGAACAATTATATTGTGATACTTGTCAACGGTACAGAACTTGTTTGCATATTTTTTTTCTAATTTTGTATACGTTCATGTATTTGAAGTTTTCTGACAGATTGTTATATAGCTGGTACATGTTCAGATGCAGCATACCAATTTGATGATACTCGTAGTGACCAAAATGATAAGTGTGCAAATTTAACTAATGGTGTTGAACGTATTGATCCAAAATGTCAAATTTGTCATAGTATACTATCAATTATAAAATCCGAACATTTATTTCATGCCGATTAGAAAGACTTTAAGAATGAAAGAAAATTGTCAATTTACACATGATTAGAATTTCTTTGTCAAGTTATGGTTTGTTTTTTTTTGTCAAACTTCTCGAATGTTGGTCAGTCTCTGGTCAATTGATCCTAGTCTTCAATAATTTATCCAAGACTACATAGTATAGAGGAGAATGGCGTCTAGATTCGAATCTACTAGGTCTCACATACATGATGGCATTCATAGTCACCCATCCATGGCGGCTACTCTAGACATGAGCAGTACCATGTTTAGACTTCTATAGAGATAATCCGTCTCATTTTACTGCATTTCGAATTATTAAATATTTGAATTTTCAAACTCAACCGGGAAAAAAACAAGATTGTCCTCATTCTTACTTGGATGTCATAATAATCTATAGTTTTAATGACAAGATGGTCAGAAAAATCACAATTAACTACAGGTTGTATATGTTCAAAATGAATACTTACAATTTATTAAGCATATTTTGATCAATTCAATTAAAATCTTCTTTATTTAACATTGATTGTAAATCAGTTAACTTAGTAAGTTCACTAAGTTCTTTTATAGTAAATGATAACACTTGAATTAGTTCACGTCGACCAATAAGCATTACATGTCGTATTCGACTTTGACGAAGTGTATCAAGTACCACTACATCAGTAGTATCTGTTTTAGATAAGTCATCATTAAATGAAAGAAGAATTTGACCACAATCAAGATGCTACATGTCCCATTCCTATAATAATAGCTTGATCTATTGTACGATCAAGTTGTATTCGAAATTGAGCATTTTCTGACACACTTGTTTGAAAATTGTTGTTTTTTAAATAATGAATTAAAAAATATTTTGTTTTTCATTTTACTATATTATACTATCCAACGCAATCTTTAGTAGACAAAAACATTTTCTAATGCTTTCTCACCAAGAATCTTAAAATTACGTTCGACAGATGAACTATAGGCAAATAATATGATAAAATTCTTGTAATTCTTTCACATATTCATGTTTCGCTATTGTTGTAAATATTTGTATAACATTTTCTATTTCAGGATGATCAGATGAAACATCACTATATCGAACAAGACCAAAAAATGAAGGTGATTTTTTAATAATATCAATTGTTGTTGGTATAGTGTGGCGAAGTTTAACTAAATTTTATGCTAAATAAAAACCAGATGGATCACTAACTACGATACAAATGCGTATGAATGATGAAAGTAATATAGAAATGTTAGTAACTATTGAAAGTTTTCATCGAATAAAACAATATATAAAACAACGGCCAATAACATGAGTAAATATTGACAAGATATTAAAGATACTTCTAGAATACAATATGGAGAATAATTTCTATAAAATTTTTCAATGTCTTACTTGTACATATTCTTTCTTGATGTTAATTATAAATATTCAGAATAAATACTCATTCTCAAATATCCTAGTAAAGTTCTTATGACTCTCGTTTATAGGGGTAAGGAAAAAAAATTTCTTGAATATTGAAATTCGAAGAAGAATGAATATAAAATATAGAAATTGTCAAGATATTATAGAATAATTTTTCATTTGTTCTACGAATGAGTCTTCTCTTACTTACAACATTAATTATAAGTATAAAATAAAAATTTTACATTCAATTCTTCTGCAATATTTATATGCAATTAAAAATTAAAACGTTTAAAGTTTTAGTCTTTTATTATTCTTCAATCGTATTTATCAGCATCTTGTTTATTAAAAATAACCAAATATTATGTTGAACATATTTTCTTTTCACATTGAATACATAACAATAGAGAAAAAAGGAGTAGTTCTATTTTTGAGTTTTTTATTTTTTAATTTTAATCATAGATCACTCGTTTGTATTTAATTGTGAATCAAATGGTGTACATTCCTCTTTTGCTTTTTTGAAATAGATATATATACTGATAATAGATTTTAAATAAAAAAAATTCAAAAGAAAGTAAAAAAGAAATAAACCAAATGAATTATTCGTTTTCAAATAATAATCTGATGAAGGATAACAAGCAGCTCTTTCTAAGGTCATTTTCTTTGACATGAATGATAAAATGAATAAAAAAAATTGGTTTGTCAAAAATATAACAAATGAGTATATATTCAAGGCCATTGCTATAGTGTTCAATAAAAAGAATACATATTTGAATTTTGATGATCAAGAATCGAAGTACAAGTTTTTATTTGTAATCAGATTCAATAATAGTCCGCTAGTAGGCCTTCAGATGAAATAAATTTTTCGATATAATGCCATGCAAACTGTTATATAAAGAATCGTCGGTATAATTTTAAATTGAAACAAGCTGGTTAACATTTTTGGCTTAGCCGACAAAAATTGATTGAACCGGTGGAAACATTGATCTTTTTAACATAGCAATTAAATAACCAATTCTTCCGAGAAAAGTTTATTATAAAAGTTTCACGAATACATACAAATTGAAAGTCATATAATTCTTGACGTTTCTAATAGTAACAAGTTATATTTTAGTCTGTCACGTTCCATATACGCTAATACTAAGAACAATTGGAGAACTTTTTTAAAACTTGTCATATAATAACTTGCAAGAATTGATAAAATTGATGTAATCTCTTATTTGAAATTATTGTTTAACACAATTGAAAGGCTTTTCGATTCATAAAAGGATACTACTCTTCATAAGATCATAAAATAATCTATAAAGTTCGATTTTATATTAAGGCGCTGTATATTTTTAGATTTCCTAATATCTATATATTTTCATGAGAGTTCTTGATAATCATTTAAAAGTAACTTTAAAAGGTGAAAAATCTTTACTCTAAATCGAATTTAACTTTAAATCGAATTTAACTTTTAATAACTAATCAACTTTTGGTGATTATAATCAATACATTCACTCTAATCCGAGACCCTTATTGTTCTATGAGAAAGTGTGAATTCAAAACTTAGAGCTAGGATTTTGATAATGAACAGAAATTTGTCAGTTGAAAACTTTCACGATCATATTTTCGAATTGTTAAAGCTATGGAAATCGATAAAAACTATCAAAATAGACTAGCTTCAGGACCTTAAAAATTGATACAAGATCGCTGACGATCGGTCAGTTTTAAAAGTTCAACCAAACCAGACCGGCCTCAACTCTGATATAAGCCTCGAAAGAGCGAACCTAGTCTTATGAGAAGTGTCACCTCTCGAATTCTCTTCATACTGAATAAAATACGTCCTGAGAGAAATATTATCTATCACAGTAATATCACATTTCCATGTTCACCTCTACATAGGATGTAGACATATGTGTGACTTTCATATCCTATCACGTTCTTCGATTTCTGAATATACGACACGACTTGAACATGAGATATGATTATATTGTGATGCTAAATCTTACTTAGCTCTTTACTTCATGCCACTCATTCAATAGAGTCAATACTGAGTCAACCATGAGAATAGTTTATGCAGATGCTAATTATGACATTGATATAGTTAAATTTGTGGCAAGTCATTTCATGGTGGAGATGCAGAATAGATCTAAAATGATTCATTCGTCTTGAATGACAAAAAAATTGATTTTATTATTAATTTGACTTTTTCTCAATTATACTACTATTTTATCTGCATAAAGTTGAAAATTTACTTATCATGAATTATTTTTTGAAAAATGAGTCATTTCGGAGAATGATATATGGTTAGACTCTTAGATCATATTGTTTTATGAGTTTGTACTGGAGATAACATAACTCTAGAAAATCATTTTTCGTGTTACTCACTACGAATGGGTCAAAACTGACCTAAGTTGCCATGAAAAATGTTGCTTTTACATCTATAATCAAGAAATTTTTAAGAACTACTCGACAAATAGAATATGCTCACAATATTATGTGTCAATCGCATAAACATTAGAATAATCAGTCGATGTAACTAAATAAAACAGATTCTTTTTATTTTCTTGAGAAAATACTGTTTTCCAACTCATAAATCTTAACCAAGGGATGATGAAAAGTAGTTTTTTGTTTTCAATTTGTAGCTGATTAAAAGCTTTACACACTGTGTGCTGAAACCATCATATCGATCCGATACTTTAATACTCCAAATAGATAGTTTCTATGGATAGATCGAAAATGGTCCAACAGAGAATAAAGGATTAACGTGGTTGAATAATCTTCTTTACAATTTAAACTTTAATGTTTAGTTAATTCTTGAACCACATCAAGTTAATCAACATGACATATTCTTTAATATGAACAGATAATTCACGAGGACAATATCTATATCATTTCTTTTGAACGTTACATAACATATCAAATATGCTTTTAACAATCATTTTGCTTTTTGTTTGATTACATGCATTAATTTGATCCCTTACAAAAATGTTTTCGAATAATATACAAGACTGAATCTTGTCGGTGTATAAGTCGATATTCAATACTAATAGTTGCATTGAACTATCAGAAACAAAGATAAATTTCAATAAAATGAATTTATTTGATTGTTCTGTTGCTTCAATTGGAAGACTTCTCATATAAATTTGTTCTTTTAAATTCAATCGATCATAAAATGAATTTTCTATTTGATAAAATAAGCTAATCTTGTTTTTTTTTCACTTAATTCTATATTAAAATATTGAAACCAAGATAAATCATTTCAATTAAAAGATTAAGAAGACTTTCTAGAGATTAATTTATCCTTTGATAAATCCATCTAAGAAATCTACACAGCACAAAATCGAATAATGATCACATATATTTGTTCAAGTTTGTTTCTTTGTGTCTTCCTCGTTATTCAAGAAAAACAGAGAAAACAAAACAAGACCGATAAAAAGGTACTATTCTACGAAATCTGTTTTGTTCTTTATTTAATTATAATCAAAGATTAGGGAACTCGATGACAACATTCAGCTGAACCACATTTGGAATCCATTCGACGACCAGCTGTTTTACCTACTCTATATATACCATGTGTCTAATTAATAAAGAAGAAAAACAATTGTAATATGTAAACAAAATCCATGCAAATCTGATCAATCTTTTCAAATAGAAAATTATTTTGTTTTTCGATTTTTGGTATGTTTTAACAAACAAGTGAATAATTCTATATAAGAATTATTTATCTTCTTTTTTTCGAAGCACCATGAATAAGATTTAAATAATTGGTTTTAATTAATTTTTCATTTAAAATATACTTACTGGATGTCCAAGAAAAATCATCTGGTCTTTAAAGGCGCAAGATATTGGTTAATATAAATCGATTCATTTGAGCTGGAATGACAACTGTTTAAACAAAATTCCACATATATAACATTACTCAATGTGTTCTTTCTTAATTTATTCGATGTCTTAAAGTAAAACAAAAAGCAGCTAAATAAATCATTTCAGTTATAAGATGTGACTCATCAAAACGAAAATGACAGATTTCGAATGATAGGCATGGGTATGTGTCTTCTATTTAGTCATATTCACACTCACACCCGGAATCTGAAGGGTGGTTTGTAAAATTTTTCGAGTTTTAACTTGACTATGACAAACTGATAGCTTTGAAAAGAATAGGTCAAACTGAACGATGGACCAATTCGTTGCTGATGTTGAATTATACAAATGAGTCAACGAAGGACGAATATATACAACGATAACTGCCATTCCCTAGAAAATAATAGTATCTTGAACTTTTCCTTAAGATGTTTTTTTTTTCAAAAATTTGAAACATACTTTTCCCATACAACTCGACAAGCTCTATCCAAAGATGACGAAAAAAACGAAAAGTGAGTACCAGTAAAAGCTTTAATTTGATTCGAATATATCTAATCTTATTAACTAAAAAAACTCATGAAGTTGATTTTCTTTAATAATAAAGTCGACATTGAAAGACTACAATAATTCTTTTGTGTATAATAAAATTCCATAGTGAATCAACTTCTTCTCTTATTTATCTCATGTTGAGATATTCTTTATTTCTTCTAAGAACTGATGATATTGATTGTTCAATATAATGTACTTGGAGCTCAAGAAGCATGACAGCTATTGAATGCATTACAAACTAACATAGTCAAACGTATTCTATACTTCCAATCTTGTATTCAGTTCTGATTATCTGACCTTACTTTTCATTTCATTCAATTGTGAAAAGACTCAAATAGATTTTTAAGGCGTCCAATATTTGGTTAACACATTCTAAAATCAAATAGTAAAACAATCTCACTACTTTCTTCTTCAATACTTTTAGTCATAGACATTCATGATAGTGAATCTACGATACAATCTAATACGTATGGAAGGTGTACAACGTCTATCTAATGTATTTATAAATAATACAATAAGACAAATTTATCATTCATTCTTAGCTCATACTCATCTATTAGAGTGTGGATGTGGGTGTGGCTCTGCATTGATGGAGAGAACATTAACATCCACACCCACACCCTAAATGTTCAAATATTTTAGTTTCATGATCTAAGTTGGTAACTTTCGAGAGTTCACTAGGAAACAAAATTTCATTGTAAGAATCGATTTGTTACGGGTAGACCAGTCTATTATGGATAGACTGGCCGGCTGCTAGTACCGGTTCAATCTATGGAATGTATCCAAATTTATCTTATGTGAAGATTTTCATATACTACTTCATAATTCCTTCGGAAATGTTTATGAAAGGGTTAACAATAGAAATAACAACAACAACAAATAAAATGCTCAAATGTATATTCACATGGATCGAACAGAAGGCATCAACAGTTCGCTTCACTTTTAAACAACACAAAGCAGGATAAATTTTCCATAAAAAATACTATACATCTACACTGTTAAATATAAGAGCCTCAAGTACGTGTATGAGTATCGATACCCTTCAGTGCGAGTACTTCGGCTATTTTGCACAGCTCTGGGCTGTGTGAGTGTGTGTCTTTTCTTCATACACAGTCACACCCACAGCCACCCTAGACCTTGTTTATGCTTTAAATAGTCTCGTCGTGTTGTATATTTTAATTACACACTTGCAGCAGTTTTCTGGAACTATCTATTCACAATATGTTAACTTACTTTCGGAAAGTATGTTAGTTCTATTGAAAATATTAATTATTGCTATAATCGATGGTGAATATCACAAAACAGTCATGTTTCTATTTAGAAAATCTTTTTTTACTGGATAAAATTCAACTTATGTTTTCTTCTTTTTTTGTCTATCTGAATTCTAATTTTACAGAATATTTACGAAGAAAAAAAATCTAATTTGAATGGTTGCCTAAAAATATTGCCAATCATTGTTAAAAACATCATTTTCAAACTATGCATCTGGAATTTATATGTATTACATAAAGAGTTTGCTATGGCTTTTTTTTGAAATAATTATTGAATAATGAACAAAAAAAATACAAAATGTAAAACAAAAAGAAACAATTTATCACATTGACAATAAATCAAACTTTTACTTGCATTATCTATCTTTGTACTCAAAGTCATATTCGAAAAATGAACGGAAGTAGTTTGACTTATCGTACTAGTAGATAATGTTGAATTTATTATAAAACACTGATTTCCAGCAGTACATGTAGCATTGAAACCAAGATATTCACCAATTATTTTGACATGTCCAGCAGATACAATATCACAATTTGGATAAATATCACTGAATGTAGCAGTAGTCATGTTTTTATCTAGAACGATAGTTTGATCTGTTAAAGATGAGTATTGAGGCCATATTGGATTCATATTATCATCATCATCATTTGGTGGGGGTGTGGGTGTGGGGTGAGGGTGTGGAGTATCCATTCACCCACACCCTCTCTTTATCCACACCCGCACCCCACACCCACACACCTCACACCCTTCGCCAACTATTATGTCCAGATAGAGGACAGTTATCTTACGTTGTTGCTTGCTCTCTCTTTGATGTTTCGCTTTTTTTCTTTCGTGACCAGTCAGATTCTTTCTCTTAGTTATGTGATGCGTTGTTTATTTTTCTGATGTATACATTTCAGATTTTTCGTTCTTGTTTTTTGTGTTTTCTTTTTCTTTGTTGAAAGGTTCAGGTGTTCTTTTTCATTTATTTTGCAATAAAGAAGAAAGGATCCTCACACTTACAACGATGTAAAACCCTTAAATTTCTATTTCTCCTTCTCCTTGCCATTTTATTTTTACCGTTACCTTCACATGTTCTCGCAGAAAAGTGGTAATGCATGAGGTTTAGTTCAACATCTAATAAATGAGAATCAATGTAGAAACCTTTTTAATCAATATTTATTCCATAAATGAGGGAATTTTCGATCTTTGAATGGTCATTTTCAATCATAAACACAACCTTTCATACAGATGCTACAGCATAACACAAAATTACAAAACTGAGAAAACAAAAGAAAATGATGAACATCATGATCAATAACATCATAACCGTGAACATCAATAACTGATATTACCATATAAATCAGTTGTAATTAAGACAATTAAAAAGATTTCTACATTTATTCTCATTTATTAGATATTGAACTAAATTTCATACATTACTACTTTCCTACATTAATATTACATATACAGTAGAATATAAAACACGAGTTATATGAGTAGGTTTATAGGTACTTTGGAATAGATTCATTGTGATTTATCTGGTTTTTCAATGATTATTACTGCACTGAATTATTTGAATTATAATGAATTTATATGATTAAAATCAGTTATTGATGTTCATGGTTATGATGTTATTGATCATGATGTTCATCATTTTCTTTTGTTTTCTCAGTTTTGTAATTTTGTGTTATGCTGTAGCATCTGTCTGAAAGGTTGTGTTTATGGTTGAAAATGATCATTCAAAGATCGAAGATTCCCTCATTTATTGAATAAAAATTGACTTAAAAGATTTCTACATTTATTCTCATTTATCAGATATTCACACGTTCTTATTTTTTTACCATGTATTGTCAACCTTGGCATATAGGAACAGTAAAAATAAATGTCAAAAACAAATTATTTCAATAATAACTAAAGTCCTGTTCATATTTCTGCCGCGTCACTTTTGTTGAAATACAGGGTGGTCCATAAGTCCCCCGACACTTTTTCATTTTGAAT